TCTTCTTCTTCTTCTTCTTCTTCTTCTTCTTCTTCTTCTTCTTCTTCTTCTTCGTAACAATCATCATCAAGAGTTAAAACTGCGACAGACGTTAGCGATCATGCTTTCCCATTCATTTCTTTCTTCGAATGCTCTCAAAAGAACTACATTATCTTGATTCTTCCTCGTCACCCATCTGTTAAGGAGTTTAGGCTCTCTTCGCAGGTTTCTTTGGGCCTACCCTTGCCTCGTTTGCCTTCGATTTTGCTAGTGAGAGCAAAATGATAAAGGCTTTTATGTCTATTCTAGTGTTTCAGAAGCTGCCTTTGTCTTTTCTGGGTTGCAAAAATGTAACGATACCATAGTGGTGGGTTGGCAGGCGCTCTGGTACGGTTTGATTTTTTTCTTTTCTACCAAACATCTATCGTTCGTATCCCTCCTCCTTCCCCTTTTGTGATTGTTACTCTCTTGTAACACACCTAATCTCTAGCATTCATATGACCTTATTGTGTCAAAAGTGCCGAAAAACTCTCACTAAAACTAAAACGATATTATTATCATATCTCACCTAAATTGGCCGCAGGAGAAAGGGTCTTCACTGACGGGGTCATGCAGGGAGAAAATGCCCAAGATGTAGGCGTCTCCCTCCATAAAGGCCAAGGGTATGACGTCAGGTTTCAGGCACTGCTCACAGCGGTCACGACACACGCTGGACGGGACGGACCGTGAGGGGTCGCCGGTTGTGGTTAACATCCGGATCTCGCTCATGTTCAGGGTGGTCTTGCCGTCTATGTAGGTGCCGATTTTCTGGTACTGTAACACACAGACACACACACACACACACACACATGATATTCCTTCGTTACTTTATCGCAAACAGTATCACAAGTACATTGTATTCCTTCATTCTTTTATCGTACACAGTAGCAAAAATACAGATACTCCTCCATTCCTTTATCCCACACAATAATAGGCCTACAAACACGAGTTTTCTTTCACTCCTTTATCGTATACAATGACACAACCATAGGAATTCCTTCTTTCCTTTATCGTACACAGTAACACAAACAAAAACACAGGTATTTCTCTATTCCTTTATCGTACCCAGCAACAAAAACAAAACAACAGGTATGCCTTCTCTCCTACATCGCATACAGTAATACAAACACAATTATAGAATAGTTTTTCTCGTCCAAAACACAAATGCATTTTGAATATCATATACACCCATGTTCGAACACAAAAACGGATATTTCATTATTGTACTGAAATACAAGCACCCACCGCCTAATCAATGATCAATTGATATGTCAAAGGAGGAATAAAACATTTACAACCAATCACAGCTCGCCATAAAACACGTACAACCAATCACAACTCGCAACCAATCATAACTCGCCATGACACATACAACCAATCACAACTCACCATAAAACATTTGCAACCAATCACAACTCATTATAAAACATTTAAAACCAATCATAACTCGCCATGACACATACAACCAATCACAACTCACCATAAAACACTTACAACCAATCACAACTCACCGTGTTCTGCTTCCTGTTGTATTGATAGACGTAGAAAGCCGGTACGCCATTGACCATGCGCATGTCACCGTTCGAGTCAAAGCTCATTTTGAAGTCGTTGTCCTTGAACTTCTGGGGTGGGACATCAGAGTCCATGTCGCCATATGTCAGGTTCAGTGTCTTCACTTGTTTCAGGAGATTTCCATCTTCCACGGCCTGGGCCTGGGCAAGAACATGTTTTTGAACATTGATGTGGATTGTGATATTGTCTATGCAGTTTAAAACCCTACTAGACACATTATACAGCATTTCGAACGCACAAAAAGTCGACTGCTTTGATACCTC